GTTCCTGCGCCTGCGCAGGGGGCTTAGGCGGCGTCTCCCGGGCACCGAGAGCGGCGTGCGCGTTAGTGTCCACTGTGTACGAGGACCACCCACTTCCGGGAAAGCTGCCGAGCCTGACGCCCCGAGGGCGCGCGTGGCCGCCGCGCACGTACACACAACGGTGGCTGACGGCCTGGCTGTGCCCGACGGAGATGGGAGGTTGCCGCCGGCAATGGCTTCCCTTTATTCTCGTGTGATGCCGGCAGCCTGTGACTCGTTTCAAGTTCAGCCACAGCCCTTGTGCAACGAGCACCGCGATCTAGGTCCCATGTCAGAGCCCTGCTGCAATATGGTATCGTGCGTGGGAGAAAACCAAATGGAGCAATGGCTGGAGCAATGTAACTGGTAAAAGATACGGAAGGAAAAAATATAGGAAACGTGAGTTATTCTATGGCCACAGAAAACGTCCTATATGTGGGGTAACAGTTAAGACAAAATATTGGGCAGGAAGACACGAAACAGAGGGCGTGGTGAGGTGGTTGGCCTCTGCCAGGCGCCAGGGACAGGCAGGTCGCTACTGGAACCCGCAGAAGCCTTCTTTTCTTCCATCTGGCCCTTTATTTCAACTTTTTTTTCCCTTTGACTCAAACTGGCCTCACCTGGTGCCCTACTTCTACCCCCTCCATCTCCCTTGCTTCATCATTGCGCCCTCAGGACAGTGAGGTCCAATAGACTTAGGGACAAGGTCCTGGACCTATTGAGACAGAAATTTCTCTTTTATTATTTTTTAATTTATTTATCTAGAGAGAGAGGAAACATCGATTTGTGTCCCACTTATTTATGCATTCATTGGCCATAGACTTAGGGACAAGGTCCTGGGCCTATTGAGACAGAAATTTCTCTCTTTTATTATTTTTTAATTTATTTATTGAGAGAGAGAGGAAACATCGAGTTGTGTCCCACTTATTTATGCATTCATTGGCTTACTGTATGTGCCCTGACTGGGGATCGAACCCACAACCTGTTGTAGGTGGATGATGCTCTAACCAGCTGAGCTCCTCAGCCAGGGCCTACACAGTTTTCAATAAAACTAACCCATGGTAACTAACCTGCCTACATCTTACAAGAAACGCGCCAAAGGAGCTATGACAATGCAAATAAACTGGAAGTTTCCATGTTCACATTCACCACCCCAGTAAGTTCTGAAACTCAATACATGGTTTCACCATTTTTATTACCAGTGCTCAGTGGAAAAAGGAAAGCTTCGAGTTGCTATTTCTGTTTTTTCTGTTTCTTAGTTCGTCCACTTTTCTTCTGTCCTTTCTTTTTCTTCTTGACGAGAACAGCTTTTTCTCCAATAAATAAACTTTTAGAATGTCCTACATTTTTGGAAGCAAAATTAAGTCCCTTCTTCGGTTTACTGACATTCTTCAAACTGGGATTTGAATTTTGTTTTAATTTGTCTTTATTAACAGAACGCATGACTCTGAGTTTTCTCCCCATCAGTTCAGAATTATTTAATTTCAGAGCAAGATGAACAGCATCTGTATTCTGCAATACAAATCAATATATTAATTCCAACCAGAAACTCATCTGCAAAGAAACTAGTCAAATCGCAACTTGAACGGATTAGAGCAGCTTGCACATGGCAAACCCTCCCACTTCCATGTCCAGGAGTCCAGCCCGTGTCGCAGCTGCTGGGCTGCGGTCTTTGAATCATGCTCTGCACACGTTTCCCCAGGAGGCACTCAGCTGCCTGTCAGGTTATCAGATAAGTCACAACCCAACAGGTGCCTTTTTCTCACTGTCTAATGAACTTCCACCTGGCAGCGAGCTAGACAGTCAAGGAAATCTTTTACAACCCAATGATCCTCCTTCGCACAAGGCTCTTCTGCAAAAGCCCCGAGGTAACAGTTGACTCTGTCATGGTGCCTGAGCTGCTGGACGAGATGCCTCATAGGGTTCCATTCAGATCCCAAATCCTGTTAATCTTTTATTCTAATAGAGAATAAACCCTGATGTGTCTTAAAGAACCTGAGGAATTTATCAAGACATAGAAGACAGACCAAGAGCAGAGAAACAGTAAAATAACCACAATACAGTACTGCTGGGATCGGAAGGCTGTGACCACCTTTCTTAAAGCTATCTGGAAATATATGTCAAGAGTCTTAAAACTGGTCACAGAACTTGACCTCATTAGTAATAGCCCATTGGAATCCCTATTTTTTATTTTATGTAATTTTTTTAATTCAGGAATTTGAGGGCCACAGTGACAGTTATGTCTGAGCAATGAAACGCAGTGACAAGCCCTCCCAGTGCCTTCCAAAGGCACAGTGACAGCGCAGTGGCCTCCATACCTCGAAGAGCACGTAGCCGAAGCCTCTGCCGACACCGGTCAGCGGGTCTCTCACGATCCTCACGGCCACGATGTTCCCGCAGTCCAGAAAGTGGTCCTCCACCACCGCGTCTTCAATTTCTGAAAACAAATTCAACCCAAGTGGAGTGAAGCCTGGGGATCGCCTCAGGGATCTGGAGAGGTGTCCTACCAGCCCCGGGAAATCAGTGAAGGTACATTCCTGCCTTTTTAAAGTTACTCGTAACGCACAGACAGGTATTGCTCAGTGGTTATTTCCGCTAATTTAACAATAAACAGGTAATTTGCTTATACAAACTTACTGTACGGGAGATTCCCCACAAACACCGATCGCTTGTCCCTCTGAAACACAAAGACACAGAGTCACTCACCGGAACAGAATGTGGGGTCACCCTAGAGCCCAGCCTTTCCCTCCCCCGACACATGCCACAGGTGCCCGTCTCTGTTCACACCAGTCCCTGTTGGAGTCCGTCTCTTCCACCTTCCCCGCAGGAACAGGAGGGACACTGCAAGAGGGAGTGGCCTTTTGTTCATGGAGAACATGACTGGGCCCTGGCCATGCTTGAGAAAGGCTATGTGCGATGCTGGGGGTCAGGGCCAGACGGCACATATTCCAGGCTCTGTGGGCCCCGTGGTCTCTGTTGTAACTACTCCCTTCTGCCGCTATAGCGCAGTAATACCAAACCTAATGGGGTGGTTGTATACTAATAAACTTTATTGAAAAGAGCAGCCAGCAGGTGGATCAGGCCAGCTTGCTGACCCTGTGCTAGGTCCACAGTCACAGCCAGGGATGTCAACCAGACCTCTGTCACTTCTTAACTAGGTCACTCTGACACCACCAGCAATTAATCTATGCTTCTGTGGTGAGCTCTTACTCATTTGTTTCAAGAGACTTTTAAAAATATATGTATTTATTGATTTCAGAGAGGAAGGGAGAGGGAGACAGCGATAGAAACATCAATGATGAGTATCACTGATCAGCTGCCTCCTGCACATCCCTACTAGGGATCGAGCCCGCAACCCAGCATGTGCCCTGATCAGGAATCGAACTGTAACCTTTATACTGGGAACTCCTGGAGAATTGAGACTATCTTAGCACAGTACACCTAACACAGAGAAACGGAAACTACTGAATAAATAATTTAACTTCCTAGCCCACCATCTATGAAATAAGATGTTTGCCCGGATGATCTCTCACACACCTCCGAGCCTAACTCTCCACGATGATTTGAACCAGATGGAGGGAGTGGGGGCCACGTTCCTGAAGCTGATGTGACTTCATTCCTGTGTCATTCAGGGACCAGTGCTGTGACCAGAGGGCAGAGGCTGTGCTCCCCTCCGACTGCTGAGCCCACTCCTCTCCAAGACTCTGAGTTCTTTAAAGAACTCGCAGATACTCACAGATGAGGTCTCGGATGCGAGGTCAACTCTAACGCGGAATCCATCAGCGATTTGGGTCCCATTTCTACTTTAGACATACGAAGGGGAAGAGTTACTGTACCATTTGCTTTAAAGTGAAACCAAAGAATTAGAAATACTCATAGCTACTTAAATAATTCTGTGAGACCTCAGAGAGATAAAATTACCTGTTCAATGCTTTAGTAGCAGCGCTCTCATCCTTAAATACTACATACGCATTAATATTTTTCTGATCAGGATGAATTTTACGTCTACAAAAAAAAAAGACAATGTAAAATTGTTACTCTCAAAGTCACCAAAATAAATAGCTTGTTTTCTACTCTCAATCTATACAGATGATAAGAATTCCTGGAGGAAGTTTCATCTCTTTCAATAAATAACAACAAAATTAACACACCACCTACTAGTACACAGACACTGGCTGAAACACATCACCCAAGCCTTCCTATTGGTTCTCACTGAGGCTCCTTTTCTAGTAGGTTATTTCACAATACTTCCCATGACTATACAGTTTACCTTGAGGCTTAAAGACAAACATTTGACAAATTTATATGCTATTTACAGGCAAAAGGGACCAGTAAAGCATGATGTTTTCTCCAAGTGTAAAAATCTATGAAGCTAAGAGATGGTCTCAATTTTAACCAAAATGGAAACGAATATAGGACTACTCCGTTTCTCTAATTATAAACTTACTTTATTGCAGCCAACTTTTTGGACATAGTTCCCTCTGCTGGAATCTTTTAAAAAGAAAAAAAAAGTAAAATTCATTATTTGAAATATTACTTTAATTATAATACGTTCTAAATATCTGATTAAAAACATTCTATGGCGCCTTGGCCAGCAGAGTTCAGTGGTTAGAGCACTTCATGCTCCTAGAAACATGACTATACCTGGTCTACAGAGTGAAGTCAGATACCATGTACTCGTATAAATTAACTTTAAAAAAATACTTCACCTTTCCATGTTCAGAACATAAATACTGTATGAAGCAGCCACACAACCCCCCCAGATTGAAAGCCTACAATCCCAGAAATGCTATTCAGTAAGTATTAATATTTCCGCTTACTCAACAGACACAGCAAACAAGTCACCCATCTACCCTCCAAAATGCGGTGCTGGCCTTAGCAGTAAGGATATCATTTTACTATGTGAACTCGCTAAGTTATTTAACAAAGACAAGAGTCAGCAATAGGTACGAAAACGACTTTTCTCTTGGACAGAAGATTTGAACTCCTGATTCAGGTATTAAGTTTAAAGTCAAGTGCTCATCCACCTCACTAATGCCACCATGGTAACAGGTCTGATTTCAATGCTCTATGTCTCACAATTATGCAATTATAAGCGGGAAGAAAACATACCACAGAGCGAAATCGCACGGATTCTATTGGCCCATACTCTTTAAAAAATGACTTCAGCTTCTAAAATAAAAAAGCATATATTTAGTTCACTTCCAGAGCATCAAATAAGTGGCTACAAAAAGGAATTACGTAAAACTGTCGGACAATCATTTACGGCCAGGTTTTATTTCAAGAACATTTCAGAAAAGTATGTGACTGTTCAGGTTGAAAGACAAACACATTTTACTGAAACATAGGGGAAAAAAGAAGTTAGCATCTCTAAGGTACATAACACTTTTGTCTTTCAATCTTTGATCATCTTTACCACATGTAAACTAAGAGGATCAATTCCACAGATTCTCTCATCTTTTCACACTGATGAACCTGAATGCTCTCTCACCATGAGAAATTCCCCAGCTGTCTGGAATTAGGACCATGGACAGAAGACAAGTCTGGTGGGAATTTTATACATTCTTCTATGTCTGGCTCAAGAAGTGAAGAATGTGTTTTACAGCTAGAATTATAATCAATTCTGACTCATAAACAACGTATTAAACATGCAACACATCACACACGCTCCCTTCCCTGGAGCCTCTATTAATCTAACAGAAAGATCAATAACCAAAACTATGCACAAATGTGTTCTGTCCCACAAAACAATCACAAATAAAACGCTAGGAGACATCAGTGTAAGGGGGAGAGGAAAAAACAGGAAGTCAGTCTATTTGTACTGTTTGTTCTTAAAGTGGAATTTAAGGTGTCCTTTAAAAGAAGGGCAGGCCCGGCTGGCGTGGCTCAGTGGTTGAGCAGTGACCTATGAACCAGGAGGTCACGGTTCGATTCCCGGTCAGGGCACATGCCTGGATGTGGGCTCCATCCCCAGTGTGGGGCGTGCAGGAGGCAGCCGATCCGCGTTGCGCTCTCATCATTGATGTGTCTCTTTCTCCCCCTCCCTTCCTCTCTGAAATCAATAGAAATATATTAAATAAATAAACAAAATGAGCAGGATTTTGAAACAAGAGGCTGCCCAACGGTGTGACTGTGACAGGAACACTAAAGGAAGAAAAGGGCACGTTCCGGTAGTGAAGCGGACATAACTGGGAAACCTAGGATGCATTCATTCCGTTACACGGTAAACAGCTATGGAGCCTCTTAACACGTGCAGGGCACTGTGTCAAGTGCTAGGGAGAGCGCAGTGAAGGAGAGAGACAGACACCCCTGCACTCTAGCACTGACAGGACAGAAGGCTGGGTCACTGCAATCGTTCAGATAAGATTTACAAAAGCCTGAATTGGCCAGTGACTATGGCAGCGGTTCTCAACCTGTGGGTCGCGACCCCTTTGGCGGTCGAACGACCCTTTCACAGGGGTCGCCTAAGACCATCCTGCAGATCAGATATTTCCATGACGATTCATAACAGTAGCAACATGACAGTGATGAAGTAGCAACGAAAATAATGTTATGGTTGGGTTACCACATGAGGAACTGTATTTAAAGGGCCAGAAGGTTGAGAACCACTGGACTATGG